AACTTAAATGCAATTAATTTGCTTTGTGCTCTGGAGTTCATGGCTTTCTAAGTGTGGTTACCTGCTACCTTGAGGTACAAACTACATAAATTATTTTTTGGCCTTCAAGAGGAGCATGGGCCTAGAGACAGCTGATTAGACTCTGGTCTTCATACTTTGTCCTGCAGTGCAAAGAGAACAGAGTTTGTCTATGAGGGCAAAACTTAAATGCAATTAATTTGCTTTGTGCTCTGGAGTTCATGGCTTTCTAAGTGTGGTTACCTGCTACCTTGAGGTACAAACTACATAAATTATTTTTTGGCCTTCAAGAGGAGCATGGGCCTAGAGACAGCTGATTAGACTCTGGTCTTCATACTTTGTCCTGCAGTGCAAAGAGAACAGAGTTTGTCTATGAGGGCAACTAGTGATTAGGTCAGGGTTGGGCAATAATTTTTGTCTGAGGACTACTTTAAAATTTTTGAAGTGGCCCTAGGCTGCCCCAGAAGGGGTGGGGTCAGGATGCTTCTGGACTTCCCAATTCCCCGACAATGATTGGTCTGGTGGTTGGGAAGACCCTTTGCCCATCCCTTCCCACTAGGCACCCATTCCCCTGGCAGGGTGGGAAGAGGCTTCACACTCTCCCGCACCCCCAGGCCAATCAGGGCTTGGGGGTTGGGGAGTGCGCGAAGCCTCCTCCCGCCTTACTCCCCCCCTCCCCCACCGGGAGAACATGGCATTTCTGCGCTCCTTGCAGTGCAGAAGGAGGCTTTGCATGTTCTCCCAACCCCCAGGCCAATCAGGGCCTGAGGGCGGGGGAGCTGTGTGAACCGTCCTTTGCTCTGCCCCCACCCAGTGCAAGTGTACGGCACTTTGAAGTGCCACGCACTCCTCGCAGGCTGGGGGGAGGGCGGAGGAAACTTCATGCAGCTCCCCTGTGCCCAGGCCAATCAGGGCTTGAAGGCAGAGGAGCTCATGACGTGTCCTCCCACCCTGCGATTACTACATGGTGCTTCAAAGCGCCACGTGCTCCTGGAAGGACAGGAGGAAGCTTCATGTGCTCCCCTGCCCCCAGGCTCTAATTGGCCTGGGGGCAGGGGAGTGGCAGGGCCTGCATGGGCTGGATCCACCCCACAGAGGCCCTTTTGCCCTCCCCTGGATTGGGAGCATTCTCAGGAAGGTTAGGATGGCATAGCTGTTTTTTTTTTTTCTTTTTCCCCTCTCATACCCTCTCCCCCCCCCCCCCCTTGCTCCTTTAAGTAACTCGTAGATCAGGGATACTCAACACGTGGACCATGGGCCACATGCAACCTGCAGCCTGTTTTTTTTGTGGCCCACAGTGCGGTTTGGGTTTACACAGGGCTCAACATGCGGCCCGTGGGTGGGATTCTTTGAACATGGCCTCCACTGGGAACATACTCCATAATGGCACATCAATATAATGGCCTTCTGTTGATCTGCATTTTAGTAGTTAAATTCCTGGACTGTTATTGCTCATTAAAAGTGCTGTCATGTGGGCGGAAATCAGGTAAATATTGCATTTTATTAATATCAGCAGAAGTGACTTAAACAGGGCCTGCATGTTGTATAGTCTTGCCTTAATCTTTATATTAAGAGTGAAATAATATATTTGCATATATATTTGCATGTATATGCAACCACACTTAAGTTGCAGCCCTCAGCAAGTACTATGAGTATCATTGTGGCCCCCGGAGCTTTCAAAGTTGAGTAGCTCTGTCCTAGATAGTTTCATCCTTGTGTCTGCTTCAGTTATTTTTACAAAGAATTGCCTTGAATTTTGAAAAATGTTCACAGATTCCTTGGTGACAGGAGGATCTTGAAAACTGCCAAAGGACTCTTTCTCCTTCCCCCACTCCCAACAATGGCTCCCAACTTCATGTAGCTTTAGCCCTTTGTTATTTTCTTCATTGTGGCCATTTACATGGACCTATGCAAAATATATGGGACTTGCTTTGAGTACTATATATGGTGTTTAAGAACACAGGGACCTATAAAGTACAGAGAAACTGAGTTTAATAACTAAGGCAACCTGCCTGTAACTAGCCAAATGCACCTGTCCTCACCTAAACCAACAGATTAAAACAACCTGGGGAGTCTCTTGGTTTTTCTTCTAAGTTATGCTCTAGAACAAATGTGGGATAATACTCAAGAAGTGAAATCACCTCAATTTTTAAAACTCTCCTATCTTCAAAGTGTCTTTTCCAATTTACATCAAACTTTCCAGAAAAAAATCTATCTTGGCATAATTTTTTGCATGTGAAATTTCACAGTGCAGTATAATGGAAGGCTTTAGCCTTAGCTATGGAAGAACACTAGTATTATTAGTAATATAACAGAAGACCATCTTAAAAAACTCCTTTAGTGTACACCATTATCCCTGTCCTTCTGTTTGCCATGTCTCTGTTTTTAGTTCTCTGCTCTTCTCTTGCTGCTTCTGTATGTTTTCTTCCCTTCCATCTTCTATAAAGAAAAATCCCAGAAAACGGCTGCAGTCCTGCAGACGGCTACTCATGTGCTTCACTTTATGCAAACGTATAATCCAGTTGATTTCCATTGGAGTTTTTTTTAAACTGCGTACTTAAGTTCTGAACCTGCAGTTGACTGCCCATTGATGGACTGTTGGACCTACTGCTGCTTCTTAGTGAATAAGCCCCATGCGGCAGGTGATCAGGATTAATTTCTGAATTTGGTCGCCTGGTTGGATCAGTAGGTTCTTGGGCCAGGGCCTAATGGGGAGCTCAACATGAATGCTGATCTATGCCCCCCCTTAATGGGACTGCTCATGGCTACAGTGAATCAAATGTGTACTGTATGTTGTTAGTAGGGTTACCAGATGATTTAAAAAAAATACTGGACACACTTGATCTCAGATGGCAGGGGGGGGGGCTGGCCATGGAAGATTTGGGGGGAGGAGGGAGAAACAGCTGGCAGGAAGCAGGGCTGGTGGGGAGTGGGGCTGGCCGGGAAAGGGGGATAGCAGGGGAGGGAGAAACTGGCCGGCGGGGAGCAGGGCTGGCCCAGGCGCACGCAGATCCCGGGGTGCTGGCTGTCCCACGCACGGTCCTGGTGGTGCACACAGGCGAGACCAGCCCCAAGGATTCCATCCTGCCCCGCCTCCCTTCCTCTCTGCTGCGTAGTTGCATAGTGCCTGACTGGTGGACACACTCATGCAGTGTGAACATATCCCAGCCAGGCAGTATGCAACTACGTATTGATACTCATGATAATAATAAAACTTACTTAATTAGAAAATACCGGACATTTATATGTCTGGTATTTTCTCAATTTGTTTCCTGGACAGAAAGCTCAAATACTGGTCTGTCCGGTTCAAATACCGGACACCTGGCAACCCTAGTTGTTAGCTTTGGGATGAAATCCTGACTTCAGTGAAGTCAACAGTTTTGCTGTTGATTTCACCCTTATTAACTTTTATTATTTGTATTACTGTAGCCTCAGTACTCCATTGTGCTGCATGTTGTGAAAAAAACCCAAACCAGTCTTCCAAGGTCCTGATCTTGAAATGTGACACCCAAGGGTGGATCTTATACTTCATAGAGTGCCATAGAGGTCCTACAGCTACTGGAGCACTTGATTAGAGATTCAGTGGCAGGCTCAGCACTTAAGTGCATATTAAGAAGAATCCCAGCAAAGGATATTGTTAAGCTGTTGAAGCAATAGCCCTAACTGTTCATTTATTACAATTATTTTTAAAAATATTCCTTTATATTTTATATGAAATTAAAGACCAGAAATACTAACTAGAGGTCTTCTAAAGAAACCAATATTAAAGATCAGCAACAAAACTTCTTTGTTTTAAGTTCTAGTTTGTTTGTAGCTAATCCCAATGTACGTAAATTTTGCAGCACATATGGTGGTTTTTGTCGTCTATTTTGTGCGCTAAACGTACACAATGCTTTACAAAACATGGAGGCAATAACTGTGATTTTTTTCCCCTATCTGTCTATACTCAAATACACGTAAGACAAAACATGGGCCTTAATTTAGGTACTGTATGAAAGATTTAAGACAAGGAAGAGGTTTTCAAGAGAGAGCTGAGGGAGGAGAGAGGAAACTTGGTAGTCAAGCTGTGGGGGACCATACTGAGCCTACAGCAGGAGAATAGGTGTAAAGTCCAGAGTGAGATAACAGCAAAGTATTGATTGGGAGGATTGTAGGCAGGGAGAGAGCAAGATTAAGAGGATCTCTGAGCAGAGACGACTCTTGGATGTAAATGGTGAGGTGGAGGAAAGGGGATGGGTAATAAATTTCAAGAAAAACAAGTGGTGATCAGGAATTGAGGGGGAGAGAGATTGGAAAAAGAGTAAGGGCCAGATCCTCAACTGATGTATATGTGCAATGTACCACTGAAGCCAGTGGAGCTGTGCTGATTTGCACCAGCTGAAGGTCTGGCCCCAGGCCAAGAGGGTTAATGAGATGGTGAATGAGAAAGTGAGTTGAGAGAAATTTCATGAAGTAGTTAACGAAAGAAAGTCAGCGGCAGTGGAGTCAGCCTTTTCAACACGGAAGTGGATGTAATCCAGAATGATGGTAGGGGACTGGAGAGTGGGAGGATGTACCAGGAATAAAAGTGAGGGATAAATGGAGTGGGAGGATTGAAGACTATTCCCACATGGAGCAAGGGAAGGAAGGCAGATGAAAGGAGGGACTGGATGTCACAGGACAAGGAGTAGAGGAGCCAGGTGATTTATTTGGAAATCTATACTTGGGTTGTGAGCCAGAACCCCTGGTTATCCCAAAGTTTGGGATGTTTTGAGATGTTTGAATAAGTGAGGTTGTGTAGCATACAGAGTAGCAGTATTCCCTTTTCCTTCGACTAGTACCAACCAGCCAAATTCTACACTGGTTTATTCCTGATATGATCTCATTAAAGTCAAAGGAAGGTATGCATTAGCATCTTCCTCAGTGGGATTACATGGGTGTAAATCAACATGGGCCGCAGTCAGGCCCAGTACATTGACTTACAACATGAAATAAAATATTGTGGAAATATAATAACCTTGTTTTGTTGTTAGAAAATTAAGTAACAGGAAGGGTAACCGAAGGACTCTTTGGAACCTAATATCAAGTGTCTCCTTTTTTAACACTCGGTTCAAGCCAAACACTTTTTTCTTCTTGTTTGTAGAGTAATACAAGTAAGAACCCTGCTTCCCTAACCATAAGGAATGTTTCATCTAAGGACAGTGGAATACAGATTTCATGTATAGCAGAAAATATTGTGGGAGAAGACCAAGCTTCTGCTGACCTTGTGGTGTTCTGTACGTAAACAGGCTTGCATATAATTTAAGCTGCTGTCCAAATTATATCCATGCAAAATATTTGGGGTATATATTTCTTTGAGGCATGGAAGGTGCTGAAACAAAAATATCACCTAAGCATTTGAATTACATCACATTTAATGCTGAGGAACAGCACACCTAACAGCAGTTGTGCTGTTCCTTTATAAATGTGCTCTGAGTACTCTTACATATCTGTCTTCTTATAGCTGCTTGTCAGCTTCCAGTTTGAGATTCCAAAAGTAAATTTCTGAAATCCAAATTGTTCAAATGGTGGTGTAAACATGAAAAGGTATCTAGGTGCATGTGTATTTTATATACATATGAAAATAACTACACTTCAAAGATGGAAGCCAAGTTGTTAATAATTTGGTATTTTAAAGCCTTTAATCTAAGGCAATAAACTTGGTACATTTTTTAAAATTAAAAAACCCAACAACCCGGCTTGTAACATTAGTTTTCCCAGGAATATATTACTTTGTCTTTTGGCACTGAAATAATCTATTTATCTGTCAGATCGAGGAGAAAAGGATGGATGCAAAGGATAAAAACATTGACTCCTTAATTCTAAGCTCTCATCATTAATCTGTCTTAAGTTAATTAAGTAAACTGTTTTTACAAGATTTATATATTGACCATCCAGATCAACCCCGATTTTATTAAAAATGGGCATGCTCATTAGAGAAAAATATTTGTTAGAGAAGTAGCTATAGATTAACTTCACTGAGTATGAAATAGCTAACGAAAAGGATATATGCTATAGATACTAGAAGGGTGTAAACAAGGAATCTTGGATTGGTATTAATATGATTGGTATAAGGACACAATACTAGATGTAATTAGATGCAATTAACAAAGGAAATTTTTGTGTTAGTATCAAATTTCCTGGTAGTTGAGATAATGTAGAAGGCTGTGGAGCAGCCTCCCAAGGAAAATACTAGAAGCCTATAACTTGGGCACTTAAACTGGATTGGACAAAGTACTAGAAAATTACTATGGCAAACAATTCTGCATTAGCAGGGGAATTCAGTGAATGAATTCACTGTCTGTTCCCTGACTCTATGATGAAAATTTTCTAAATGTTTGCATGCCTATCTGAATGTATTTTCATCACATTTGACTTTGGCCACCTGTGAAATACCCTTTTAAAAAGAGTACGTAGGTGCTTTGGTTCAAAACGGAGTGATAAAACACCTTTCACTGAATGTGCATGATTTATTTAAAGTTAGCCCTTGTTTTATCAAAGCCAGTTCCTACATCTCACTTTAAAGAATGACTTAGAGGCGTTGTCCATTTCAGGTCTGAATTCAGTTCACAGATATAGCAGAAGGCTTTCTGAATGCATAAATATATATATACCCATTAGCACAAGTCTGTCGTTTCCAAAACTGCCAGTTGTTTTTTTTTTAATTTGAAGCTATGTTCCCCAAGAATTTGTGTTTAGGATATTCTGATGTTATTCACTCTTCTTTTCAATATAGTTGCACCAAATATCACATTTATTGAACGTCCAACCTTGAACCACCACTGGTGCATTCCATTCACTGTGAAAGGAAACCCTAAGCCCACATTGCAGTGGTTCTATGAAGGGGCTATACTGAATGAATCTGAATACATCTGTACTAAAATACATGTTAGCAATCAAAGTGAATATCATGGCTGCCTTCAGTTGGACAACCCTACCCATTTGAACAATGGTGCTTATACCTTACTGGCGACGAATGAGTATGGAGAAGATGAAAAAAGGGTTGATGCTCATTTCATGTCAATGCCTGGAGATGGTGAGTACCCTTTATTATATTAGCAATGGCATGTTGATGACGTAGAACTAGTAATGTTGGCCAGGTTTTTTTTTTTTTTTTTTTTTGATGTTGCTGTTTAAAAGAGAAGCTTTTTAAAAACAAGTTTTCTCTTAAAATAATTTAGTTGTAGATATTTTGAGATAGCTGCTTTAAGAAGAACCTTTGCTTTTCAATTAGATTTGCTCGTGAGCCACATAGTACCTCTTTCTTTAATTCTGTGCCTTTGCTCCATGCCTCGACAAAATGAAAAAAAAATTTTTTCTGAAGTATTTTTCCAACATATATGTTCTGATCCTATAAATGATGAGTGCCAGTTCTATACGAATGGAGGGTGCTTTATTGGGAAGAGTTAGGTCTAAGCTGTGTATCCATAAGACGTGTACAAAGTGTTTTGTGTAGCCATAAGACCATGTACAAAGTGTCTTAAGTCTGTAGAAGATAATGGAAATTGGGCAGTGCAGTTCAGCATGTCAATGCCAATATTTTCTTTAGGACACTAGAGGGAGCAAGAGAGAAAATAAGGAACCAAGAGGCAGGAGGGACAAGATGGCTACTATTACATTTATGTGTGTTTTGGTATACTAACGGGTCTATATCAGTGGTTCTCTGCCTGCAGGCAGTTTGTGGTTCAGTCAGCACACAGCTGCGACCCATGTGACATCTGAGGGCCATGCAGGTAACATGTATGGATGCAGTGCAGATAATACAGAGAGAGATACTTATTTAGCACGCAGTGGTAAATAGGTTGAGACTCACTGAGCATCAGTCCTTTTTATTGCAATCTTGGCAGAATCAGGACATGAAACGTACCCAATAAACTGCAGGGATTACACTAAATGTATCGTTTGTTTTGCTTGTTTGATATATTCCCAGTTCTTTAAAATACATGTATAGTAATTGTACAGGTAAATGACCAGCAACTGTCCACTGGTATGAAAACTTATGCTAATTGCATAGGGAAATCAGGTGTGCAAATGCATGTGTATTTTATGTGTGAAAAACAGCAAATTCATATCTGAACATCTGGGCACTTGTGTACATTTCCCTAAACGTGAGCACTAACATACCAGTTGAAAAGTGATGTACAGTCCTATGTAATATTTCACAATGACAGAGTAGCTAGCTTTTTAGTCTTCTAGATTTTAATTTCTTTCACCTTCATTACAGGTTACACTAGTGAAAATACAGGTCATATTCAGTATTTATCACAAGCTGTTTTAAGAGAAACAATGAGCTATATGACACTTCTCTTCCAGCCTCAAGTAGGAGTAGATACAGAATTGACACAGAGAGCTCTAGTTACTCCTGCTACTCTTAGAAATGTCTCTCCTCCCTTTTCCCCCTAGAGTCCTTTCCCTAATAAAATTGTTACAGGAACAGACCATGAATTTAGCTACTGGCAGCTTCCAATAGTGCATTATAACAATTCAATAAAACAGTCCACTTTACATATATATTGTATAAAATGGAAAGTGATATTAATTTGGCTGCATTTACTTAGAAGAATAAACAGTTCCCCAGTAAGTTTAATAAGGCTGCTTTGAACTTAAAGGAATTTATTTTTCATTGAACAAAATGCCTTTTATTGGCACATTTTCTCCTTCAGGTTAAAAACTGAAAACCTTCTTTCCCATTAGTGGCCTTTTTAATTATCAATCAGACTCCTATAACCTTCCATTTATAGAGGCAATGTTTATAGTTTTTAATTGAAGTTGTAAATCTCAGCGAATATCTGTGTTAGGTTCTTTGAGCATAACCCCATTCTCTGAGGAAATTAGTATCATAAATACATTGTAGGAAAGACTATGATAAGCACTGCCTGTCTGCCTATCAGAGAAATCACTGCCTATGTCATATGTGGCATCAAACCAGTCTTAAAATTTAACAGGAGGAAACCATCTACTCAAGCAGACTCCTAAAACGTTTTTCTTCGTGGGATTTCTACATCATGCTGTTTGTGATCCTGGAGTTAGTATGCTGTACAGAATTGATATAGGTTCCTATATTTATACTTCCAACTCTCCTGCCCTAGAAGCTGAAAATACAGGTCAGAGGAAAAAATATAATTTCCTCATATTCATTAATATTTTTACTGTTGCTATCTAAAGCACAACCAAAAGTTTTGAGCCCTTAAATTACCTCCACCCCATGATATCGCTACAGTGTAATTTCTTTGTCCTGCACCGTACAGTGAAGCATGAAGATAGGCCCACACCCAGGCATTATGTTCATTTTGATTCCTGAAGGATAGAAATTAAATATTCTGCTCCATTAAACATCAGGGCAGGTGTCTTCATCAGGCTTTGAACTGATTCAATGACTCTTAAATCACTTAGGGGCAAATGTGCTGAAGCTAAAAACAAAGACAAATAAAAACCCCACCCATAAACTATAGAAATTAAACATGAATTATTAAAATAAATAAAAATGAAGCCTCAAGTGCTTTCGAGCATGAGATCATCCAGATCAACATAATACTCTACCTTAAAACCTGCATCAGTCATGATGCAGATAGGATCCATGCCAAGAATTTCTCAACCTACAGTGTCTCTTCTGCAAAGAGCACATTCTCTCTCATGTGATACTTGGCTGACAGTGCAGGTAAGCCAAAGTAAAGAGAGGTTATTTGTACTTGGAGCACAGTAATAGTATCACAATAATCATTGTGAACCACTTCATTCACTAGAACCTTTGTTTCAAAGCTAATTTTTGTGATCTGGAGCTTTGGCCCCTGGCCTTTTATATATCTTTGTAGTGAGCAAGTTAGCAAAGATCAGTCTTAACCCTTCCCTGCTTACAGCATGTATCTTATGATGTCTATCCCGCTTCAGGGATGGACACTATTCAAACTCATACAGCTTTAACCACCAACTATCCCTATATTTGAGGCTATATTAAGGAGGAGGTGTTGGCTCAAGGTGCCTGGGATGAGGCATACCTGGGAGGTCAACATATGCCTTTGATGTCGACCACAGAACGTCCAGACTACCGCGCTGAGCTGACAAACAGCTGATCGGCTCAGCGCAGCAGCCATGTAAATTTAAATGAAGCGGCGATTATTTAAATTGCCGCTTCATTTTCCTATGCCGGGTAGTCTAATCTACATGCCTCTGTCGCCAGAGGCATGTAGTCTAGACGTACCCTTTGTTATAGAATAGCGAGGGAATGTTCCATAATAATTCTCCCAGAAAAGAGTTGCCTACAAAAATCACCCTATCTCAGAAGGCCTCTATGCCACGTAGTTTCTCAGGGGTTTTTAAAATAATTTATTTTGATTACTATTTCTTTATGGTAGCACTCACTATGTGCCAGGCACTTCCCAAACATTCAAGGACAGTCAATCCTTGAGAAGGTTATAATCTGAACCTCTTAGTTTCCCATGATCTTGCAACAGAGGCATCACTATCTGGAGAATATCTCAGCTAGTTTTGCCTCCCCCAGGATAATCTAGAGCGCAAATGTTTAGTTTGTTCCCAGATGAACACAGAAGTCTGAGGGTGCATCTACACTGCACCTATAGCTCAAAATTAGCTACGCAATTGGAGCTATGCAAATTGCATAGTTTATTTTGAGTCAATTTTGAAATGGCTTATTTTGGAATTTGCTGCTGTCTATACAGTGCCAAATTTCAAAATAACCTGCTATTCCAAAACGTACCTTACTCCTCATGGAATGAGGTTTAGAGACATCAAATAGTGAGCCTGTTATGTTTCAAAATAATGGGATTGCTGTTAAGACGTGGAATCTCACAGTAGGCAAGAATTGAAAGTTAGTATTTTTTACTTACTGAAGAATAGTCCAAGGACAATAACTTAAAAAAGGAAAAAATTGAAATATCAAAATAATATCTGATACCATAGTTTTATGAAGGGGATGCAAACCGACATGTAGTTTCTGGTGAACTTTTGGTTTTCAGATGAAGGCTCTAGTAAGTATAAAAGGTAACTGAATGGAATATGTTACTTCCTAGCCTTTACCTCAAAGGCAGAGATTAAGGTTTTTTAAATTATTCTGTGTCTAATGGTTTAAATTAATCCTTTATTTAATGCAGCCTAGTTAGATCAGGAGTTAATTTTATTCTGGGGGCCAAATCTGATCCCACTGACATCTAATGAAAGTTTCTCTGTTGAGTTCCTGAGTTAATCCAAATACTTTGTGAATATCAAACATACACAAATGTAGGAGGTATCCCCTGAAAACTTTTTCACCTAATCTGAATGCTTTATACTAGAAAAAAATGTATTAATGAAGCTTTTCAAAGAGAAAAGTCCAATAAGAAGTAGCTTAAGGTTAGATGGCAAGTGCTCACTGTATGTGATGTTTATTTCTACAGATGAATGTGGCCATTCTCATGGGGGGTACCTTAATTTGCATTCTAACTCTAAGGGTGTATCTACACTGCACCCATAGGTCAAAATAAGACACACAATTTGAGCTACACAAATACCGTATCTTATTTTAATCTAATTTCGCTGTTCTTAATCCTCATGGAATGCCAGAATAGTATAGCCGTTATTTCGAAATATGTTTTGAAATAGTGGATGCATTTAAAGATGCAGAATAGCTATTTCGGGGTACTTTCAGTACCCCGAAATAGCGCCGCTGTCTAGACGTAACCTAAGTGTTAAAATATCTGCAAAGATATTTTAAAAATTGAGCCCAATACTATGATTTCATTCAATAGATGTTTTGCAGCTCCTAGTCTCATATTTCTCACAACAGATTCCCAAGCATTTAGCATAAGAAAAGAAGCAAAGGCTATGTTCCATTTATGATGGCTTTGTACTGGTGTTACTCCATTGCTGTGAAGTTACTCCTGAATTACAGTGGTGTAAATCTAAGCAGAATCTTGCCCACTGAGCTTGTTTTCCTAATTAAAGGTTTTAAATTTCTTTTAAATTAAATGTTCAAACTACATAGAACAACCAGTAAATATATAGAAAACTTAATTAGGAGATTACTTTATGGGATTTATGCAATAGAAAACATCAGATTATCATAAATGGAATTTTGAAATATAGTGTAAAATAAACAATAGCCTTTCAAATGGAAATACAGGCAGTCCCCGACTTACGCGGATCCGACTTATGTCGGATCCGCACATACGAACCAGGCTTTTCTCGCCCCGGAGCTCACGGGCGGCGGGTCTGCCACCCGTGTCCTCCGGGGCGAGAAAAGCTGCTCCTGTCTCCCTGGTCCTGCAGACCAGGAAGACGTGGAGCAAAGCCGAGGAGGGGCTCCGGCAGCGGGGCAGCCCAGGTGTGCCTCGGGGGAAGCCGGCAGCGGGGCCGGCCAGATACCCCGCAGCCGTCCC